AAATTTGTGTTACCTGGTCACATTTCAGAATCACTCATCTGTTCTTCCTTGGTCTTCTCTTGGTGACACAGTATGATACATAGTGGGCTGCTCACGGAAGCATCAGCTGTTTCAATCCACAACTGCTCTGTAGGAAGAAGATAAGGTGGTCTGCTCCCATTAAGATTTGTAGACCATAGTCTTGTTATAGGAATGGATCTAACGTAGTCTACAATGTTCTGTATCTTTGTTTAATGGTACTTTAATAAGTTGGATGTATCATCTAAGGTACAACATTTGTCTCTCCTTGTTTGAAACAAGAGAGAAGAAAAGCAAAGAGATACCAAAACAATTAGAAAAAAAATTAATATGTGAATCTCAATAGACATTTCAGAAGGGATTAATAAAGACGGGTTATAAGATGAGCATAGTATATCTACATATCTTTCTTTCATTGCCTTTAACTCAGAACTGACTCATGGCAGACCTGCTAATGGGTTTACAGAGCGTCTCAATCTCAGGAGAGGGGATTGCGTGCTTTTCTCCCATGGAGCACCTGTACAATTTTAGCCTCTCACCTTAAGGCTGGGAGCACAATTCTCTACCTACCTGGCCACCAGGGGGGAGGGAGTTTGTGTGAGAGAGAGAGAGACAGACAGACCAGGAAACTCCTATAGTTAATAAAAATGGAGTGCATTTTGTTAACAGGATAAAGCACACAGTGAACCTCCTGCTCAGTCTCTCTGAGCTTTCATACTCTCATCAGCATTATAGAAATAGTATCATCTAGGTGTCAGCCTTATATACCATCAAGTTGGAACTGACACATAGCTGACCCTCCAGCAGGTCTTTAGAGGCAGTAGAGCACATAGGAGGAGATTGACTATCTTTCTCCACAGAGCAGCTGGGGGATTTGAACCACATACACTGCCAAACCAACCTGATCACTAAGCCAGTAGTTATAAAAATTAGGATAATATGTCATTGTTACCTAAATGATAAAATCTGACTTGTTTATGAAGAGATATTTTTATTATCACTTATGTCTACAAGGTACAAAGTGTCTCATTCTTCCTGAGTAATTAACATGGGAAATGAAGACCCTGACTCTGAGAAACTGGCAAGGAATTTGCTTTGCTTTGCTGGACTTTGCATTGTCCAAGAAGAACTCCCCCTCTTTCCTCTCTCCAGCAGGGTAACACCAGGAAAGCATCATAGCTTATCTTCATAGAAGAAAACACCTAGCACAAGCTTCTCATGTCTTAAAAAATACAAGCTGTCTTCTCATTTTCATTGCAAATTTTGACAGGTTTAAAATCTGTACAGAACTAAGAGTCCATTCTATTATTTTAACTTTTTAATTCAGTAATAAGCCATTTATTGATTTCTTTTATTCCCAACTTGCTGTCTTGATTTTGAAATTAAAATCCAGGGAAACTAAATATACTGATGATATATAAGAAGGAATTTAAGAAATTCAGTATCTAGGCAACATTCCTGCTTCACTAGTAGAGTTTAATACAATTTAAGTGTTCATAAATATTCATCATGTTGTTAGGTGCCATCAAGTCAACTCTAACTCATAGTGATCCTGTGTACAATAAAACTGTTTCCTCTCTTGGAATTAATTAGTGTACTGAAAGATGGTAGTTATATAATTCCTACTCCTATTCTAGGCCCTTCAGTTCTAGATGTAGTCTGTCCATTTGTTTGTTGAATATAATTATGAAGAAATATTAATAATTATTAGAAACCATGATTATGCAATTTAAAAGGTGTTCTGGTGGTCTACTGAGTTGCTGTACCAAAAAGAATTGGCTCACACCAAACTATTTCAGGAAGTAGTATATGAACAAGAGCCAATGGTGATAAAGATGATTAAGCAATACTTTGAAAGCATTGGCAAAAAAGTATGGCTCCAGGAAGTGGTTAGATACTAATTGACTTGTTTCAGTTAACAGATACAGCCCTAGATGTATTCAACAGTCTATGCCAGAAAATTTGGAGGACAGCTCTCTGGCTAACTGATTGGAAGAGATCCATAATTGTGCCATTGCCGAAAAAGGTGATCTAACAGAATGTGGAAATTACCGGGAAATATCATAAATATCACACGCAAGCATAATATTGATGAAGATCACCTGAAAACAGCTTCACCAGTACACTGATAAAGAGCTGCCTGAAGTTCAGGCTGGATAGAAGAGGCAGTGGCGTCAAGGACATCATTGTTAATGTCAGAATCCTTGCTGAAGGCAAAGAATAACAGAAAATGTTTATTTGAGCTTTGTTGAAAATGTTTATTTGAGCTTTGTTGACTGTGTAGATCATGACAAATAATGGGCAACATTGAGAAGAATGGGAATCTTAGAAAACTTAATTGTGCTCATGTGAAACCTATAACCTGTATCAGGAGATTGTTGTGCTAACAGAGCAAGGAAAATTAAAATTAGGAAAAATTAGGTTTAAAATTAGGAAAGCTGTGCATCAGGGTTGTATTCTTTGTAGATACCTAGTCAATCTGTATACTGAGCAGATAATTCAAGAAGGTAATCTCTTTGAGGAAGAACATTATATCAGAATTCATCAACAATTTGTGTTATGCAGATGACAAAGCAACCTTTACTTGCTGAAAGTGAAGGACACTTGAACATTTGCCTCAGAAGAGTGAAGATTACAGCCTTTAATATGGGTCCTATCTCAACATCAGGGAAACAAAGGCACCATCATGATAGATGGAGAGAAGATTAAAATTGTCGACAATTTCATCTTACTTGGATCCCCAGTCAACACTTTTGGGACCAGCAGTCAGGAGACAAAGAGATGTATTGCATTGGGAAAGTCAAGTGTCAGGGACCTCTCCTGATTACAGGAAGCAGTGATGTCAGTTTTGAAAACTAAGGTGTGCCTGATTAAGGCCATGGTCTTTTCTTTCAATCATTTGCTATGAATATTTTGAAAGTTAGACATTGAATAAGAATGACAGAATGAAAATCAATGCCTTTGAACTGTGTGTGGTGCTGGAGAAGAGTACTGAATATCCCACAGACTGCCAAAAGAACAAACATGCCTTAGTGTTCTTTGGAGGCAGAGATGACACAGCTTTGTGTCACACACTTTGGGCATGTTAATAGGAGAGGCCAGTCCTTGGAAAGAGACATCATGTGAAAATGTGGAGGGTCAGTGAAAGAGAGGCAGACCCTGCGCGGGGTGGGTTGGCACAGTGACTGTAGCAGTGAGCTCAAGTGAGTCAAGGACGATGAGCATGGCACCGGGTAGGACAGGCTTCATGTGTGTTGTTCCAAGGATCACTATGAGTTGTACATGACTCTGTGGCATTTAACAACAACAGATGAGTAAAAAGAGTTGCATTGCCAACCTAAATGTAGACGTTTTAAACTGGGGGAAAAAACCTTAATCTTTTCCTGTACAGTTTACAGCCTCTGAAAACTCTCCAACTGCAAGGTAATGACTGACTTTAATTTTTGTTATTTTAAGGAGAATATTTCTTTGCAGTGTAAAAAAATAAGTCCATAAATACTGTGTGGGTTGGAAAAATTTAACTACAAGTAAAAATACAAAATCTACAAAGTAAAATATTAATACTTTTTAAAAAAATAATGTTAAGAAGAAACCTTTCCCATTTCTAAGATATAAATTGACTCTTCAAAATTCTAATTTCTAAGTGATATTTTAGGACAAGAATTTGAAGTTGGAGGAGAGCAGTGAGAGAAGCATGTTCTGTTAGAGCAAAAATAGACATGCTTTATATAAATTCTTATTGTTTATACATAAGGCATCAGTATATGAGAGTTATGCACAATAAACATGCCTTATTTGGTAGGTGTGTATTGATCCGAAAAGATCTAAGTTAACTTATTAGTGAGAAAAGCGACAAATTGTTTACGATACCAGTAACTAGCATTTGTGTATTTTATACCCAGGTTTAAATAACAAAATAAGAGTCAGTGTCTTTTAAAATCAAATGAAAATGAATACAAACAAAAAACATCCTACTAGGAAAGCGTCTCAGCCTTTGGTGATGAAGGAGGAAGTTCAAATTGCTCTAAAGGAATTGGCAAAAAACAAGGCTCCAGGAGTTGACGGCATACCGATTAACATATTTCAACAGACACACACTGCCCTGGATGTGCTCACCAAGTTGTGCCAAGAAATCTGTAGAACAGCCAGCTGGCCCACTGACTGGAAAAGATCGATATTTGTTCCCATTCCAAAGAAAGGTGACCCAACAGAGTGCAGAAATTATCAAAATTGCATTGGGAAAGTCAGCTGCGAGGGACCTCTCAAGAGTACTGAAGTGCAACGACATCAGGCTGGAGACTAAGGTGTGCCTGATTCAGGCTATAGTCTTTGCAGTTACATGCTATGCATTGGAGAGTTGCACAGTGAAAAGGGCTTATAGAAGGAGAATTGATGCCTTTGAGTTGTGGTGCTGGAGAAGAGTGTTGAATATACCACGGACTGCTAGGAGAACAAACAGGTTTGACCTAGAGAGGGTGAAGCCAGAATGCTCCTTGGAGTCAAGGATTCTGAAGCTTCATCTGACATACTTTGGGCATGTTGCAAGGAGGGATTGGTCCTTGGAGAGGGTCATCATGTTTGGCAGAGTGGAGGGGCGGCGAAGGAGAGGAAGACCTTTGATGAGATGGATCAATTCTGTGACTGGAGCAGTGGGAATTAAGTGTGTTTGAGATGGCTAGGTTGGCACAGGATAGAACAGTGTTTAGAGCTCTTGTACACAGGGTTGCTATGAGTCCCAAACGACTCTATGGCACATAAGAACAACAACTAGGAAAGCATAGTTGGTTCTTATTCTCATGGAAGATCTCTTAGGGAAGTAGAGCAATGTTGAATCAAACATGTTTCAACCCAGTTTAACAGGAGCAGGATGAGGGTGTAATCGCAGTTAGGATTGGGCCAAGTAATAGAATGCTTTTACTAATTTTCTGGAAATGGAATTTTCAAATTTTTAAATTTGTTTTGTCATTTTTAAAAATTAACAGGTGGCTATCATCCAGTAAAGATTGGAGACCTCTTCAATGGCCGATACCATGTTATTAGGAAGCTAGGATGGGGACACTTCTCCACAGTCTGGCTATGCTGGGATATGCAGTAAGTTCTTTGTAATGTGCCTCAGCTCCTATTTCCTAAGACAGTTTACTGGGAATTTTGACTTGCGCCCAAGGAAAGTGCTTTTAACACTAGCCTGCCCCAGCTAAGTGGCCTTCTTTTTGTCTGTCTTCTCTGATATTTAAAAATATTAACTTTGTTTTAGAAACTTATTTGTTGAAGTTGCTTTATTTTGGGGTCATTTTGCTTTTCTAAGAATTCATCTGGATCAGGGAATCTTTCAGACATGGAATAATGAATATAAAATAAATTACTAGTTCTTTAAAGCAGTAAGATATGACATTTTAAGAGCCAAGATCCATATTAAGTAGTACATCTTTGCATCACACTTCTATATAGTACATTTATCTGCATGAGCTGAAAGAAAACTATTCATTACAAGAGGTTGTCTTGTCTCTGGACCTATTAGTTAATTGGCTCCATGGTTTGAAAAGTACTTCCTTTTTTTTTAATGTACTTTTGTAAGTTATATGCTACTTACATAAACTAGTATTATGCAATTTTCCAACATTGGATAGAGCTGATTATTAGAATTACCAGTTCTGCTGGTAAGATAAAATATAAAAAAATTTTTTTTTAAAGGGGAAAAAGATTTGTTGCAATGAAAGTTGTAAAAAGTGCCCAGCATTATACAGAGACGGCCTTGGATGAAATAAAATTGCTCAAATGTGTAAGTACAGAATTTCTTCTCAATTTCTCCTCTTCCCCCCAATATTAAATTTGAACTTATTCTCATAAGGTCAAACATTAATTTTTTTAAAAATTAACATTACTTTTCTTAAAACTTAATTTGATCGAAACAATAGAAGAAATTCTTTTCAGGCTTCAGTCTTCTGCTCTTGCATTTCACCCCCTTTTTTTGCACAGGTTCGAGAAAGTGATCCCAGTGACCCAAATAAAGACATGGTGGTTCAACTAATTGATGACTTCAAGATTTCAGGCATGAACGGCATACGTATCCTTTGTGATTGTTTAAAAGATGCTTTAGTCTTTTTGTACTTCCAACACTTCTGTAAACTGTTGTACTCTGTACTGTCCTTTTCAAGACCTTCATGATTGAAACACAATTAGAAAAGACAGTGCCTCTGGAATGTTCTTTCCATATATGTTCTTAGTGTTTTCTCAAAGATAGTCCATCATATCTTAGGCAAGGTGGTATCTTCATTTCTATGATTGTAGAATATTGAAGTATTAAATTACTCAGAGCCATATGATTGATGACTGGCTGGCATGTCATCTGGCTTCTTTGCATTTTTTGATCGAATTAGGAACATACCTAATACTGTTATATTTGACCTTCTCAAGCTCCAGAATGCAAAGGACAAGCTCTTCCCTCCTCCTAATTTCCAAAGAGAATTACAGTGTCTACGTCTACGCGGTTATGATCCCCAAGTGGAAGTTTTTCTGCCTCAGACTTCAGGGTACTAGAAAGCACCAGATTGCCCTCCTGCCTCCTTAGCCTAAAGGTTAATTCTGCAGACTGCTGAGAGCTTCTCTCCTACCTCTTAATAGATAAGAGAGAGATTTGGTGGGGTTTTCCCCTAAACGAGCCTGTTTGTTTAAGGGCAGACCAGTGGCCCCCAGCCCCACCTCAGACCTACAGGAGCAGTTTCTTAGGACTGTTCCTTTGGGGAAACCCACCTCATGTATAGAAACATTGAGGATTTTGTTTTGTATTAATTTTATATAGTAATCATTTTATTCTTCAGTAAGATCCTAGGGAACCATCATAATCTAGATTTGTCAATACTTTGAGAATACAGGTTTTATTTTAGGAAGAACCTTTAAAATATCCATGAATAGGTTTGCAGTGTATACATTCTTTTATAATGTAAATGTTTGGATTATTTTTGTTAAAATAATAGTTGCTTTAATGATCTGGTGTATCGTGTTATGATGATTGAAAGTATTAAGTTTTAAAAAAGATAAAGATATTAAATTGACTGACCCCTTTGATGCTAAAAGCTTCCAAGGATGAACAAAGTATTCCCAAGAGTTTCATAGCCATTTAAAATGTGTTTGACATATTTGTATGATGAACTGTAGAGAGTGTCATAGTTCTTAAAGGGTTATTGTTTGACTCAAATTTATATATTTTTTTTTAATTATTTTTGTGTGTGTGTACCGTCAAATCAGATCTGACTGGTACAGGAGGAGATTGCCCCTCCTTCCCCGGCAGAGCATCTGGTGGATTCGAACCGTGCACCTCTGGGATTGTAGTTGCAGCTTCTTGCCACTAGGAAATTTATATTTTTAATGCTCAGTTCTTGAGATTTTATTATTATGGATTGATCTTAATGTTAACTCTTAAATTGTAATTACACATTCTTAAAAGATATATAAGCTATTAAGAGGTTTTGCTAGTTCTTCTTTGTCTTTGTTAAATATATATTTTATCAGGCAAATACAAATTCAGTGCAGCACAGATACTTAATCCAAATCAATAAAGTACACTTAAGACACTGGAGTTATTTATGTCAATCTTGCTCATTTTCATCAAGCCTAACTAGGTAGAGGGGAATATGCTGAAACAAGAAAGAACACAATTTACTATGGGATTTAGTCATTTCACTGCCCTCCTTGGACTGTGTAACTTAGATGGAGTCTTTAAGCTTGCTAAGCTTTACTATCCTTGTTTCCACACTGGGGATAATTATTTCTTAAATTTAATAGATGTACTATATGTCATAAAAATGTGGCATATAGTAAGCACTTGGTAAATGTTGATTGTTGTAATTTAGATGAGAAATGACCAGTGACCACTCAAGTATTACTTATACTATTGCTATTGGGTTTTATAAAGTGTGGTTTTTATTTCCTTTGCATTTCAACATAGTAGTGCTTTCAGCAGTTCTATCACTTTAGTAAATGGATCCTTAACCTTGTCTCAGATGTCTGCATGGTATTTGAAGTGCTTGGTCATCATCTCCTCAAGGGGATCATCAAGTCCAACTACCAAGGTCTCCCAGTTCGTTGTGTAAAGAGTATCATTCGTCAGGTGAGGCTAACGGGGGTGGGGAACACCCTCCTCAACACCCAGCTGATCCTTTCAACTTTAATTTGAATAGATTTGTTTATTAATTGGTAGGTAACATTTTGATCTCTCAATATTGACTTAATAATATGGTAATCTGTCCTGTAAAGGGCAAAAAAACATAATTGCTGATTTGTTTATTAATTGGTAGGTAACATTTTGATCTCTCAATATTGACTTAATGATATGGTAATCTGTGCTGTAAAGGGCAAAAAACGTAATTGCTATCTTTTGGCATTTTGATTTAAGCTATAATGTTTGATTTAAGCTATAATGTTTGATTTAAGCTATAATGTTTGATTTAAGCTATAATGTTTCATTATTTGAGCAATACTAATTCTGTGATATATATATTGCTTATTTCCTTAGAAAATAATGCAGAAGAATTGGATACTTATTTATTTACTAGTTTTGTCTTTGGAAAGAGGGTAAATTAAAGATGACTTTAGAAATGTTTATGCAAAATAGAAAGTATTGTATTAGTTTTGTCCTTTGTTCTTTCACTTTGCCAAAATAAAATCAGTCCGCTCTAGGGATTGATTGAACTGGGAATGATGCGCTAGTAAACTAGTATGACTGTATGCTTCTTGGAAAGTCTCCTTCTATTTCTAAATGTTTAGCCGTTTTCATCTTTTGTATGGTTTACACTAGTCTGATTTCCACATATTTTCTATGGCCTAAATTACCAACGTTGAGATACAGTTTATTCTGGATTACGCATTTTGTTTTATGAATAGTTACTGTGAATAATTCTGCAGAGAGGTGACAGACCAGAGACATTGATTGATTTGCTTGAGGAAAGAGTTTTATGTAAAGTTTAAGGTAAACCTGCCCAAACAGTCCAGGCTAGATAAACAGGAGAGAGAATGAATCACAGTTAAACAGTTCAGGAGATGGGTACCTACAAAGAACCTTCCTGACATGTGTTTGCACACATCCACATGATAAGCTGTTAACCCCTCCTTATATAAATTAGAACTTTAAATTCATGTGCTACATTGCTAAGTGAATTAGAATGTTGATAACTTTTAGTTGTATGTTTATCACTTCTGTTATCTTTGTTGCCTTGTAGTACAGATTGGGTGCCTGTCTTCTGAGTTTATTAGTTGAATAGTAAAGTTGAGGACAGAAGAGCCCCTGAATTGACTGGCACATTAAGAACCTGTACTTTTCGTACATAATAGTATGAAAGCATGCCTAGTATAGAGACATCCAGCCATATTCTACATAGTGTCCTGATTGTCCAGTTGACTATACACTACTGGTCTCTTATGATAATAGTTCCGAAATCCTCTTCAGAGGATGAGATGTACCAAACATAGTAGCTTTCTTAGACATTCCACATGTATCTCATGTCTCCTGTATGCAAAGCAGTTGTACTGACAAGTGTGTAATAGTATTGCATATATAGCCTTTTATATATATATATATATATAATCATGATAAACACCTGTTATTGGTTGTACAGTTTGTATACTTCCAGAAAGTTTATAACAGTGTATGCTTTGATTCATAGGCAACAGCATCCATTCTTGTATATCATGTGTCTCTTAAAGTGTTACACCATTAACTTATTTCATTTTCTCTCTAAAATACTGCCTTGAAAAGCTTCATAGCATGAAATACGGCAAAATTATTGTTAATGACAGCAGCATGAGACAAAAGATGTAGAAATGAAACAGGTGATTAAGCAACATTAAGGTGGAAAAAAATCAGTAAAAGATATTTATTATGATTCAGGTATGTCAACAAAATCAAAGACCTAATTCTCCAATATGTTGCTAGATTAGTCCAACTGATAGCTACCAGGGTATTGAAAATTCAAGAAAGACCTAGATCAGATATGCAAAAGCTTGCTAATGACGTGGATTAGGATCAAACACAAAAGCAGTTCTTTCCCCACACATTGCCAATCGCATCAAGGCACAAAGCTTGTTTGAAATAAAAGATAAACAGAAGCAGGACCAGACGATGATGGGATTTTTCATAATGTCTACATCATATAGCATCTTCAGATAACTTACCGTGGATAGTCAGCAGCATGTGACTGTGTTTGTGATGAACTCAGTGACTTTTGTTTGATTTGTTTCTCTTGGATAATAGTTTTTTTATTCATTATTATATTGTAGACTATAAAATCAAATGAAACAAAATTTCCTTCTTGTATGTCGGGGAAAATTATAATGGTTTTTGGAGTCATTCTATTCCCAAATAATACTAAGTATTTGTAGTTATGTATGGCAACTTTAAACTCTTTAAAATGTTCAAAGGAATTCCTCTAACAATAAAGGTCAGAAGACATTCTCTAAAAATAAATACTGAGAAATAACAGATTACTTAATAACTTTACAAAGAGTAAATCTTAGAAACACTAGCTTCTTTGGCTGACAATTCACACAGGTTCTGTGCCTCACTCACTGGAACCTGTACTTAGACATTGTTCCCATAGGTGACTGACTGTCCCCACTATGTGCTTTTTTTTTTTTAAATTTTATCCTTCTGTCTTAGCAGTATAAATAGGTGAATTACCAGATGAACCACCTGACCTATATTTGTCTTACATTCCAAAGAGTCAAAACAAAATCTAATCTTCCTAGCAGGTATAGTCCTTAAATTGAAAGAAGAAAGCCTTGGAGTTTAATGGAACGTTAATACATACTTGCTGAACGAGCAGATAATCTAGTGACTGTGTTTTCCTCCTATAATCTAATGTTTCTTGTTCTTTGGAGACTGAGAGGGGAAACTTTCACAGGATTTTATTGGCTCAAAATAATTTCAAGGTGAAATTCTGTCTCCATGTCTTTTCAACCTGTATGCAGAACAGATTATCTGGGAGGCTGGGCTCTATGAGGAGAAATGTGGAGTCAGGATTGGTGGAAGATCTATTAACAATCTGTGTTATGCCGATGACTCAATGCTACTTGCTGAAACTGAGCAGGACCTGAACCACTTGCTGCAGAGGGTCTTGGACTGCAGCCTTCAATATAGATTGAGGCTTAATGTCAAGGAGACAAAGATTGTCACCACTGTACCACTTGGCAGCATCAGGATGGATGGTGAAGAGATTGAGATTGTTCACAGCTTTAGTTTACTTGGCTCCACAGTCAACACTCTCGGCACCAATAGCCAGGAAATAAAAAGACGTATTGGGATGGGAAAGTCTGCTGTTAGGGACCTCTCCAAAGTCCTGAAGAGCAATGGTGTCTCTCTGGAGACTAAGGTGCGTCTGATACAGGCCGTGGTCTTTGTTATCACATGTTATGCATCAGAGAGTTGGACCATGACGTAAGGAGGATAGAAGGAGAATTGATGCCTTTGAACTGTGGTGCTGGAGAAGAGTATTGAGAGTATCATGCACTGCTAGGAAAACAAACAGATTCGTCCTGGAAAGGGTCGAACTGGGCGGCTTCTTGGAGGCAAGGATTCTGAGGCTCCGTCTAACATACTTTGGACATGTGAGGAGGGACTGGTCCTTTGAGAAGGACATAATGCTTGGTAGGGTGGAGGAACAGCGCAGGAGGGGAAGGCCATCTGTGAGGTGGACTGATTCAGTGACTGGGGTAATCGGGATGGGTGTATCGGAGATGGTGCAATTGCCACAGGACGGAGCGGAGTTTAGGGCTGTTGTACATAGGGTTGCTATGAGTTGCAAGCGACTCAACACCACATAACAACAACAGTTAGTTCTTGTGTGCTTGGTAATAGAAGCCCTTGGGTATTGTTGGATTTTTAAAATGTGGACCAATTTTGTGTTTCCTTGGGAAAAATACTACCATGGAATTCTGAGAACTTTGGATGAAAAGCACTGTTTAAGAAGTTACTTATTCCACATAATGCCTAAATTTCCTTTTATTCCCTCTGACTCAGCCTGGGGTTTAGTACCTAAGACTTTTTAGGTAGCACTGTTAGGGTTTCTGAAGCATAGTGTTCTTCTGTTCCCCGTCGTGCCTCCTGAGGACCTGTCCGGGGAGCTGAGTTTGATGTCTCACGGAGCTAGGGCTAAGAGCCTTTAAGCAGAAGAAGGTTTACTGGTGGAATAGAGATGCTTCCTGCTATTTACTGTGGCAATGCTTTGAAAGACTTGGCCAAGCAGGGCAGAGGCCATGGGCCAGAGAGATCCCTTCCTTTCTACATGGCTGAGGGGAGAATGCCCTGCCAAAGAACTGTCTTCTAAATCTTTCTGGTTGGTCTTGAATTTGTAAGCTATCACTTCTCTGATAAACCTCATGGTTGTGAGTATTGTTTGTTCTTTGTGGCCATTGTGAGAAATTTTTAAACATAGAGGAAGCGCTAGTGGACTGGTGGTAAGAAGCTGCACTGCAGTCCAGAAGACACATGGTTTAAATCCACCAACTGCTCCATGGGAGAAGGATGGACAGTCTCCCCCTCTGCAATTAAGTGCTTCTGAAAACCCGTTGGAGCATAAGCTATGGGTCAGTTCCGACTTGACAGTACTCAGCAACAACGGAGGAGTAAAGAGTACCGTGGGAGGGAAATTGTTGATGTTGAGATTGGTAGAAAGGTTGGAGGGTGGAAGGAGACATGTTTGACCTCTGCCTAGTAGCAATCAACTGTGGCCTGTTACTATAGGTAATGATTCTATCTCTGCCTCTGAAGTTAGAGGTCAGTGGCTGCTTCTGCGTTGCTTTTCCAGTCCCTTATTAACAAACCTACACCAGTAGATCATTGACAGACCACGACAGGATGGGCCAACTTTCCTAATGCTCTTTGACTCTATCATGCTCCTTCTGCTTTGGTAGTATTCATGTTTCCGTTACCTCAGTGGCTCTGTCACTTGTGCTTCACGGGCATCCAGACCTTGGTCTCTGCTGTGCAGAGCTTTTCTCATGAACTTTCTGTGTCCAGTGCCTCTGCCTTATTTCAGGTCCTCATCGCCTCCCGTGCCTTTTCAGGAGCTTGTCTCTTCTCCTCCTGCTTCCAGTCCAATCTGTTCCAGTTCTTTT